GATTCCCGCCTGCCCCGGAGGTGACCACATGGTGTGGCAGACCTCTCCTGACCCACCCGCTGCTCCCCTTAGCCATGTACGTTGTAGATCTGCCTGTTCTGCTCCCCACTCTGTTTCTGGTGAAGCCTCTTGCTGCCCCTGAGCCTCTGGCCTGTACCCCAGTTCTGTATGCACAAATAAACAAATCTTTTAAAAAAGAAATTCATCCTGTGGAACCAGCCAGAAATCTGTCCTCAAGAGAGATAGAGAAAGATGTTCACAGAGAGGTACTGCAGACATTGTTATGAAAATGCCAAAGGAGGGTGCCAGGAGGAGCAGCTGACTATGGTGTATAACAGGAGCAAGAGTCCAGTGCCAGGAAAGCTGCATGTGTGGCAAAAACCTGATGCCAGAGAAGATGCCCGGACTCCAGGAGCCTGCCAAGAAAGGATAGAGAATCCAAAAACTTGTGTCTCTTAAAATGTCTCCCTAACTCCCTCTATTGACAAAGTTTCACATCAGCTTTGGCAGTTGGGATGATTGAAGAGCAGTGTAGAGGTTCTCTGAGGTGGCTCTAACTCAGAACCCCAAAATGAACACCACACCCTGCCGTGAGTCCCTTTTAGTTATGTCTGATCCTTTCTTTTGGCTGTGGCCTACTCACTTATTTAGCTAGGTGCTCATTAATTCAGCATTTGCCAGACAAGACTATATGGTAATGATGAAAACAGACCTGCTTTTAGAGATAGGAGCAAGAGTGCCTAGAAGATAGATCCAGAGGGTAAAAACTATCACAGAAAAAAAGCCAATCAGATTATTTCTCCAGGAAACTTGAAACATTAAGTAGGTAAGAATAGAGGGAAGACCAGTAACATTATGTCAGCACTCCAGCAAATCTACCAGCTGTTGTTGCAGTTCCTGGAAAAGGGTTTGGATTATTCACCTCCTTAAGTCTTGGTTACTCAATCTTTCCTTGAGAGTCTCTTGTATCTTTATCCTGAAATTAACAATTCAGTTTCTATTGCTTGTACTCAAAGAAAAACAATATAGCATGGGTTTAGATTAGTAGGGGCAGGGCCTTTTGCCATGTTAAAAATTGTAGACAATAGCTTATTGTAACAAAAAGTTATGGAAATATTTTAAGCAAGATATGATTGCATTGTATTTTAACAATTTCACATGTTACGAAAATGAAATGACAGAATTATGAAAGAGAATTGGATAATTCAATTGGGAAACTAGTTCTCTGGATGAGAAATAAAATAATTCATGTTACAATGGAGACAAGAGAAATTGATAGAGTGATGCAATCCCATACACTATGAGAGTAGAATCAATAAGACTTGGTGATGGAGATTGGATGTGAGGGGTTCAGGAGAAAGGAATAATCAGAGTGACTTGCAGGTTTTGTGAAAAGCAACTTGCCAATGGTAATGACATTAACTGACAAATCCTCCAGACAAATCTGAGGAGTGGATTGGTGAT